AGCACTGCTCTGGCCCTCCCCAGGGCTCTCTTCAAGTTCTCAGATGGTCACTTGTACTTTTCCAACAGGGGGACCCCTGCAGGTAAAACAGGGGCTGCTCTCAGCGTGGAATGGGGTCCCCTTCCCAGGTGTGGCCCTGAGGTGGCCCCACCCATCTCTGCCCTGACCTCTGCCCAGCCTCATCAGTGCCATCTCAGCTCTTCTTTGAGGACACCCACAGCCTCCCCAGCTCACTCTGACACGTGGGTGACTCCTCAGGGTGCCCCCCTGGGGTAGAAGCTTGCAGTGCCTGGAACCCCTTGGCAACGTCACCTGGCTGCCTCCTCCTCCCAGCCTGGCCACCCTGTTGGGACTGCTGTCCGTCTCTCCCCTCCAGCCCCGCCTCTGTCACTAGCCAGAGCATGCCTGCCCACCCCAGCTCTAGGCCTGGCTGTCCACCTCCTTGTGGACCCACCCTGACTACCCCCCGGGGCATCTGCATTAACCACCCAGATCCCTCTCACTCTGCTTGGGATCCTGGCTCCCGAAGGATGGTCTGTCCATCCACACTCTACTCTGCCTTCCACCAGGCCATGGAGCTTTTAAGCAGTTCAAAAATAGTGTCACTTTCTCAAGAGTTTGAGGGCATCTGTTGGGAAATTGTCTTAATAGAGGAATCTGTTGGTCTGACATGCTTTGCTGTCCTCTGCTGGTCACTTGGGGTAGTACATGCAAGGCCTGTGCAGCTGCCCAGGGAGGGGCAGGGACTGAGTAACTGGAGGTTGGGGGCGGGGAACTGGGGGCTGGGGTTGGGGACTGGCCTCCGTTGTGCTGCAGCAGGGCTGAACAGGCTGCTTCACCAGGCCCCTTGCCTTCTCCAGCGCACCTCTGCTGCTGCTCTAGCTGCCCCCGGGGATCTTGCCTCCACCTCCCAGGGAAAGGAGAGGTGGGACTCTGCCATGTCAGCCAGACGTCCAGAGGAGAGTCAGCATGTGCACATGACTAGCAGGTGCCAGCTCTGTAGCCCTTCAATTCTCCCAGTGTGTCTGGGAGGGGTGGGACTGCCAGCCAGTGGCCCCGTGAGACCCACCAGGTGTGTGGATGGTCAGCTTGGCTCAGAGGGGCCTACTCCTGACTGGTAACCCCTGTGCCAGGAGGACACTGGCTGCCATCTAGCAAGCACTGCTCTGGCCCTCCCCAGGGCTCTCTTCAAGTTCTCAGATGGTCACTTGTACTTTTCCAACAGGGGGACACCT